GTGATATCTGATTATACTTCGTCTCACCCTACGATGGACTAAAGGCAGAAGCTACGGACCGCCAGATCCAATCACGAGCCGCTTACAAGTTGCGTGGTATTTCGCTGCGATGCGCGTATCGGCACCCGCGTCTCGAATCACTAAAGGTGTATCCACACGACGGACCAAATTGCTGTTTTGGTCCGCGGGCCGCGCATCACGTGATCTACGTCACCAGTTTTCGAGGTCCGCCGGTGGTCCGCGGCCCGCGCTTCTGAGACTGAGACCTAAGGCCGCTGCCGCAGCGGCCTTAGGTGCGCGCTGGCACACTCCTCTGTGTGCAGGTCAAGATTACAGTAGGTTGTGCGGTCGTGTATCAGTATCACTACTGCGTGACACACGTTAAAGACCGCAGGTTAGCGGTTGTACTGCACTGGCTAAATGGCTCATCTACAGCTGGGAGACAAGTCGCCCGTTGAGGCGGACTAAGTTCTATGCTGTATAAACAAACACACACACGCCAATTGTTTTTCGTAACTGAGCTAATTTAATAACGTTGCTGCGACCCCCCAGCTGCATCATTAAGTTTTACGAAGGAGAGATTAGGGCGTTTTAGAATAGCGCACGCTTAAGACGACATTTACCTTGGTTTGGAAAACTCAGTAAGGTGGCCTACGATCACCGGCAACTTGATGCTTGCGACGCGAAAACATTTTTCGGCGAAGGTACGGCGTGCGAAGGTCAATACACGAGACTCCTTTTGCCAAGGCGACACAAGCGGACACGACCGGTCGACCGCTCACGTCGCATTACTCTGGACCAAAAAAAACTTGTTCATTCTTAGGTTACAGCATTTGCTGTTCATATTGTCAGTTGGTGATTTTATGATGTAAGTACCTTGTATTATTATATCATTTCTTGAGTTCCCTTTAAATGTCTTTCTCGCCACTGCTATGTACCTGAGGGGGGCTGAGGAGCAGTCAAGCTGCTTGGACAGCTTTTTTTCCTCAGCACCCCACCATGTTTATACATGGTAAATAAAGCTATTCTTCTTCTTCTTCTAATTATTATTAAATAAAAATTGTGACTGTATGTTGGTGGCGTTGCAAGAGCGAGATGCTTGAACTTTTGTGTCGCGGCGGACAAACGCTATTCTAAAACTCTCTCGCGTAGCGTGCGCTAACGCAAGCGCTAAATTTAGCGCTAGCGTGCGCTACAATTGCGTACGCTATTCTGAAACTAACTATTGAAAAAAACGCTCGCTTTTGTCCTTGTATTTACACCGCAACAAAGGAGTTTCTTGGTCACTGGCGTTGCGTACGAGTATACTTGGTGCAAGGAAGCTTGTGTAAAGAGAAAACCATTACAAACGAATATCGTTGCACGGCTCCTTTAAGATATGAAACGCTAACCATTTTAAAGTTTACGTAATATATTCAAAACGCGTTGCATGCCAACAGCTGAGCCAAAATGAAAGAGAAAGGTATACTATAGAAATACTATGGAAGTACTTGTATCGAATAATGTGCCTATAATATTTTATACAAGAAAAACGTTTCATAATACGCCATCACAATATATATATATATATATATATATATATATATATATATATATATATATATATATATATATATATATATATATATATATATATATATATCGGGCAAAAGAATCCGTGCTCTGCGAGACACGCTCCAGGCTCGGGGTTCGGCAGTCCGTTGGCTGCCACCAGAAAGTAAAGGTGTGTTTTTCTGAGATCCGCCTCGTTGGTCCTTCTTGCGGGTGAGCAGTAGCACCGAACCCTACAAAACATACATACATATGTATATATATATATATTGTGACGAAGAAGACGGGCGACACTGGGGCAGTGTGCCTGACCATCACGTGTTTTGCTCTGGCTCCTGAGGGCCTTTGCGTTCAACTTTTCACCTGGTTTCCTAGGACGAGAGTCTGCACGAGTGCAACAACGCCACCCGAAGGCGGCATACCGCCGCAACCGACGACCGGTTGCGGTTAAGTGTTCGCAGCTAGGCTTAGCGGGGTTTGCGGAACCTCTACCAAACGTCATCCCCTGGATGGGAACCCCAGCGCCGCGGTCGGGGGACGTTTGTACCCATTTAGCCGGTGGGTGTCCGACGGTGGGCTTCGAACCGACCACCTTCCGTAGCCGAGGCGAACGCTCCGTGCCACTAGGCCACGGATACGGTAGGTGGTCGGTGGAAGGTTACGAAGATGAGCGGCCGGCAGCGAATGATATTGACACGTCCACTCAATGAGATAGAAAGAATTTTATGGAAGCCGGGCCGTGCGCGCGGAGCGTGGCACGTGATGGTCAGGCACAACACTGCCCCAGTGTCGCCCGTCTTCTTCGTCACAATATATATTGGCGACGTGCGCGACCGAAAGCGTCGCTGTGGTCGGCCTTCCACGATTGGCCCAAAAGCTGACTATGACGTCGGAAAGGGTATACCATCGCCGGAAATAAGAGGAATGAAAAAACTTCAATTTCTACGGTGTTGGCAGTGTTGCTTTGAGCGCGCAATGATTTCAGGCTTCCACCATGCTATTTACAAACAGCATCGAACTTGTTGTTCGCAAGGTAATGACGTCACAAGGGGGAACCATAGGAGGGCGCCACCAAAACATCTCGCCGCTAATATATATACAAGGTGTTTCTTTTTTTAAGCTTAACAGATTTTTTTTTTTCAAAAACCATGAAAGCTAGATCAATGCGGTCTGCGCAGGTGAGTTACACGGCCAGGGGGACATAATATAAGAGACTAATCGTAACAATCAGTCCGCTAATTCGTTAATGAACTTTTTAATTAATGGAAATAGACATATAGTTCCAATTAGAAACTTGCTAGCATCATCGAAAACCCCTAAATCAGTCATTTTCAGAAAGGCTTTGAGCGCGTGAGAAGCGCAGTAGTGCACTAAAGTCAGCACTCGTGGAGCACGTACAAAGCTAGCGTTTGCGATAAGGCGCCCGCGCAATTTTTCAGTCTCTTATCTAGCCCCAGCCTTGTACCTGCTCCACGAGCGGTAACTTTAATGCACTACTACGCTTCTCACGTGTTCAAAGTCCTTCTGAAAATTACTGATTTAGTGGTTTTCGATGACGCTGAGCAAGTTGATAATTGGAACTATATGACTATTCTCATTAATTAAAAAGTTCATTAACAAATTTTAACTAATTAGCCGACTGATCTTTACGATTACCCCCTATACTATGTCCCCCTGGCCGTATAACTCACCTGCGCAGACCGCATTAACCTAGCTTTCATGGTTTCTTTAAAAAAAAATTCAGTTAAGCCTAAAAAAAAAAAAAAAAAAAAAAAAAACGCCCGGTATATATACAGGGTGTTTCAGAGAACGCAGGCCAAATCGCTCCTGCGAAAACTACTCATCGCAACAAAAAAAAAAAAAAAAAAAAGGCTTGTGGCGTTTTGGTCCTGGGCCAGGGGCCCATTTAGGAAAATTATTAAAGTCCGGGATAATTAAGTTGTTAATTATTTTTGCGTAATTAACTTTTTAATATTGTGTTTAAGGGCATGGTTTCAATAAGAAAATTGCTCAGCATTACCGAAAAACACTAAATCAACAAATTGCAGAACGATAGAAGGCGCGCGAAGCATTTTACGGCTTTCTGAAAAACCGCACAAAATCGACGGGTTTTTAAGTTTCGGTTTGCTATCAGAGCGCATCTCGGCCCCGGCGGCACCGCGCCCCGTGGAGAGAGAGTGCAACCAACCTCTGCTGCGTCGCGCGATGACGGCGCAGCAGAGGTTGTTTCCTCAAATATATAAAAATGCCTTAAATAAATTAAAAGATACATTTCACGTGTGTTGAATACAGCTTCAGCGTAGCAGTTCACTAAAACTTCAAAGAGCGCCCAAAGTGTCAGCAAATCACTTGGGAGTCGGGACCATTCTGTCCGGGACCATTTTGACCGGGAGTATTTTGTCCGAGACCATTTTTTCCTACATCGGCTTTCACGGCTTCCGCCTTGTTTGTTTTGGAGGACCGTAGTTATACTTAAACAGAACAAGCTGAGCTATTTTAGCTAAATTTATACTTTACGTCATAATCTTCGAAATAATGTTTCATATTTTATAACAGGATCATATTATTATTTTTTTGGTGATCTTTGATTCTCCGAAGTTAAACGTTCGTCTATTACTCTCTCGCTTCAACGCCCAAAGAAGGAAAAAAAACGATAGAACAGAAAAACAGAGGGGAACCTCGGCGATTCTGCGTCGCCGCGTCAGATTCGAGTTGGCCGTGTGCGTGAACCCGAACGTTGGAGTGAAACATCGAACAAGAATCCAACGTTGCACGAATCTTTCGGGTTTGAGGCTCCGCCCTACGCCACAGCGCGAAAGACTCGTGTTTGTGACCAGGGTAGCACCTATAGTAGATATCAGCGCATCGCATACGTGTCAGTTCTAACTCCCGCTGTCGGGAGTCACAGTCTTCCAAGGATAATTTTATTTTGACCGTGCGTGAGAAAAAGGTACCTGTGGTAATTTGCACCTAACACGAAGGGAGGGGATAGTGTCAACCAATAGGGTAATTCAATGAAACTCGTGCCAGATGGTCAGCAACCTCATTTTCAGGAATGACAATGTGACCCAAATTAAATTTGTTCCTGTAATGTGCGTCGGCACAAGCCTACAAAAGTGCTTGCTTGAAGTAAAGGTGATTGTTAATTTCAGTCAGCGAGTTTCAAAGCGATTGAGCGTCGTTAGAATAAGGGCTGTAGTTGAAGGCACTTTTCTCAATGGGTGTATAGCCAGGAAAGCGCACAGGAAAGGCGCATCCAAAAGCTAGGGATGCAGGTGCCAACGCCTGATTTCCCGTTTGCTACTAACTCGTCGGTTGGGGTGACCGGAATGAGAGAGGTAAGCTGATCTTGCAGCATTTCTACTGACCTGCAGCGGTACAAAGCCCGCGCGCGGTCAGGCACGAGCGATGGCATTCCACGGACCACGGGCCTTGCGAAGCAACAGAAAATGGCGGACAAGAGCCCGGAGGCTTCAAAAGGTTTCGAGCTTTTTTACGTCGCCGCCGCATCCGCATGGCTCGGTTCGGTGGCCATGGGCACAAACCTGGGCTACTCGTCGCCAGCCATCCCGAGTTTGAAGCGCAATGATTCCAACTCGTTCACCCTGAGCGCCGGCGAGGAGACATGGTTCGGCTCCCTCCTAACACTGGGGGCGCTGACGGGCGGACTGGTGGCAGGCTTCTTGGTCGAGAGCCTGGGTCGTAAGCTGGCCATCATTTTCTCTTCTTTGGGTTTCGTCGTGGGCTGGCTGCTTATAGCGACGGCGGGCACTGTGCTCGTGCTCTGTTTGGGTCGCGTCATCACGGGATTTTTTACGGGCATAATTTCCCTGGCGGTGCCTGTGTACGTGTCCGAAATCAGTCGACCCGAAGTGCGCGGCTTGCTCGGCACCGGCATCCAGCTGTCGGTCACAATCGGCATTCTGGCGGTGTTCTTCTTCGGCAAGTACCTGAACTGGAGCTCACTGGCCATTCTATGCATGACGGTGCCCGCCGCCATGGCTGTGCTGATGATCTTCATGGCCGAGTCGCCGCGCTGGCTGCTCCAGAAGGACAAGCGCGACGAGGCGCTCAAGGCACTCCAATTTCTTTACGCCGGCTCGACCGACCATGAAGCGGAACGGAATGCCATCGAGGCGAATATCAAGATGAGCCCTAAGGAGAGCTTTCAAATGAAGGAGCTCCAGCAGCCGTTCATCTACAAGCCCATACTGATCAGCCTTTTCCTAATGTTCGCACAGCAGTTTTCCGGAATAAACGCTGTCATGTTCTACGCGGTGGCTATTTTCCAGTCAGCTGGCTCGACCATCCCTGCCGAAGATTGCATGATCATCATTGGTGTGGTCCAAGTGCTCGCCACGCTGGTGGCGACCATGATCATGGACAAAGGAGGCCGCCGTGTTTTGCTGCTCGTGTCTGCGAGCATGTTGGCTGTCAGTCTGGCCATCCTGGGCGGCTACCACTACGTGAAGGAGACAAACGGTGAAGGCGCCGTCTCCAGCATGGGCTGGTTGCCGCTCGTCTGCCTGTCGCTCTTCATCATCGGCTTCTCCTTCGGTATGGGCCCGATTCCCTGGCTCATGATGGGCGAGCTGATGCCCAGCCGCGTGCGAGGCTTCGCTACCAGTATCTGCACCTGTTTCAACTGGACGCTGGCGTTCGTGGTCACCAAGACTTTCAACGACATGCTCAATCTGCTCAGTACGTACGGTACCTACTGGTTCTTTTGCGGCTGCATGCTGCTTTCCTTCGTGGTCGTCGTGCTCTTTCTGCCGGAGACCAAGGGAAAGACCCTGGAGGAGATCGAACTTGCTTTCCGTGGCACCGAAGTGCCCAAGGCTGCCGGACAGGACGTCGAGGCCGTTGCCTTGATCCCTGTCCGGGGCTCCGCTGCAGCTGAAGCACCGCACGCACCTTCGCCTAGCGTGCCCGCCAGACGCTCGTCGCACCGGCCGTCGCTCCCGCAACAAATGGTCCAGCAGCCTAGTTCTGTAATGCCGGCGGACCACCAGACACAGCCTCCGATGCTGCCACAGTGGACGCCCCCAGCGCAAGCAGAACCAACGAAATCGTCGCAGATTGCGACTCCATCCTCTGCGCCCCAGGAAGCCGAGCCGCCGCCTGTTGAGGCGCTGGAGAAAGCCAAGGAAATGCCGCAGTAGTGGGACAGTGTCGTGCCGCAAAATGGTGACGACAATCGCCGGTGGCGCGCAGTGATCACATCCGACCGCGAGTTTGACCCCTTCCACTTCCCTCATGACACCACCACGCAGCCAACCCCCCCCCCCTTTTTTTTTTTTTTTGCATTAAAGGGGCGATGCAACAATTTTTGTACTTTCAGTAAATACCGCTTAGAAGTATTCGCGTGAGACACGCGTTAGTTGTTTTCTCCACGCAATAACAGTTGCTGAAAAAAAAAAAAACTAAAAAACGGGCAGCGTTCACCCCCCTCAACTCGCAGCCAGAACAAACGGCCACATGATCTGGAGCCATTGTATGCCGGCAATGTTTATCATAGTCACGCACTGGGGTTGACAGAGCACAGGGAAGGCGCCGAGTTCCACTGGATTGGGAAGTTATAGAATAGGGGTCCCAACGTTAGGGGGCCCCTGAAAAAATAGAGACTCACCATTGAGTATGCCTCGAGCCCATTTTGGGTTAGCGTCAATGTTGGCGGTAATGCGTAACAAGTAACGGCGTTACCGGTAACGCCTTACTTTTTTCACTAACCTGGTACCGTACTCGTCACTATTTCTTTCGAAACAGTAACAAATAGTGTACTTAACGTGATTTATTTCGAGTAAAGGTTAACATAGTTACGTTACTCTCGTTACTTTTTCCCAAGACAAAGCAAATTACACTTACATCTTTCTCGTGTTTCTGGGCACTCGTTGCACTCATTGTACATAACTTCAAGATGTTTCTTCTCTTTTCCCTACGTAAACACTCCTACTTTAGAAAAATACCAACGCCCACACTACCCACGTCCTTTATCCCAGTGTCGAAAAACGCCGACATCGGCAGAAAGGGTGGATAGATGCCATCCGATGTCAACTCCTGATCTCCCGACGGGACGATGATCCGGCTTCGTTCTACAAGACGCCAGAAATGCCCTGTTGGCGTATTGGCTGAACATGCTTAAAATGCGCCCAAATAGAAAGGAACAGAGGAGAGGGAAGGTACAAGCGCAAACTCACAACTCGATGTATTGAAGGGAGAAAAAAGAACAGCCCGCACAATCAGCTCGGGCCGAGGCCACAGTGGCACGGGGGCAACCGAGCACGCGGAGGACACACGTCAGCCAGACTCATACGATTGCAGAAAGACGATTTCCTTGTCGGTTATGGGGTATCCACACGAAGGAGAAATCCGCTCCTTTCCTCCGCGGAGCGCGCATCACGTGAGACATAAGTCATCCCTTTTTGACGCCTCGCGGCGTCGTTCTCCCGTTCTCCTCCGTGGCGGAGGCGCGGAGGCTTCGTGCTTAGGGAGCCTACATACTCGCCGACTCCGTCGGAGTCGGCGAGTATGTAGGCTTCCTATCCGTGCTGTCAGCACGAAAGCTCCGCAGGTGCACGCGGCGGAGTCGGGGACGGAGTTTCCCGGGTTGTTGACGTCACGACATCCGTCCGCGGAGTTCTCCTTCGTGTGGATACCCCTTTATAGCCGATTCACACGACGGACCAAATCGCGATTTTCGTCGGCGGACCGTGTACCACGTGACCGGTACGTCACCGATTCCTGCGATCCGCGCCTCGTCCGCGGAGGCGCGGCGCAGAGTAAGGACAAAGACCAAGAGCATTTATTAGAGCACTCTTAGGGACACTGACACCCCCCAAAAAAAATTTTTAATTTTTTGCCAGGCGCTTCATTATGGTGTCGGAGGACTACCCAATTAATATTTTACAACAGAGTAGCGTATTTTATTAATAAAGCCAAAAGACGCAACTGCTCGAAACCGAAACCGAAACCCGACGGAGGTCGGAGAAGTGGAGAGAAGAGAGTGAGTGGCGGAAGTCCGAAACAGAAGTGGCATTGTGCGACAGAGTTTCCGAAAGGTCAACGGGATCGGGACCAATGGCTGGCTGCAATTCCTGTAGACCATTAACGGGCACCTCGGAAAGCGGACGCTACCTGATTTATATGCTCCTTGCATTTTGTGGAAAGTGATTACATTGAGTTCGCAGGTGTCAAAAAGGAAATCCCATACCATTTAATTCAGCGACGTGTCGTCCACAACATTTGTGTCTTATCTTTTTTTTTTGTTGCTTTCTTTAGTAATAATTGTAAAAAAAAAAAAAAAAGAAATGTAGACATCGGAAAATATTTGGAAAAAAAAAAAAAAAAAAAAGGTTTCACGGGGGATCGAACCCGGTCCTACCGCGTGTAAAGCGGCCGTCTTTCCCACTGAGCTAGTGGGGCATACCGAAATTGGAGGATCTCTTTCCTTAGTAATAATTCAGCTGATAAACTGTAAGTTGGAAAGTTTGCTGCCGATTTTCCTCTGGCAAAAGCACTCCCGGGTCGAAGTCGGGATGCACCACGCATTGGCGACATTCTCACCTAGTAAAGAAATCGTACGCGTGCATATTCAACTCGAAGTAGACACGTCGTGCTTGACGTTTGCGTGAGCGATGTCTTCAGCCACGAGAAGGGAGCTACGGCTCGGCGACGTCTTCGTGCAAATCGGCTTGGTGGTCGGGCGTGTCGTACGGGATGAATACCAATTCTTTTGACCAGTCCCAAATTTCTCTTTTAAAGGCAGACAAAATTCGCCGGTACCGCGAACGACAGTTCTGAAATAAAGGTCCCACGCCCGTCGTCCGCTGCCATCGCCGTCCCTGCGAGTCCCACGAAACGCGAAACGACGCACTCACAGAATGCTTCCGGTTGCCTGTGGAACGTTTTTTTCAATCAACGTATTTGCAGCTTTTTAGAAGCCACAAAAAATGGGTTTAATATTTTTTTCTATTTTTAATATTGAGCGCGTGCTTTCAGTGACCCACGACTTTGATTAAGTTTGGTGGTCGCATCGATACCTTAGAAAACGGCCCGTGACCGCGGAAAAGAGAGTGAGCGAGACTCCAACCGGCCAGTTCTAGATCGGCGGTTTTCGGGCAGAAAGAAACCGAATTTCGAGCCGCAAATTCTGTTCTGGGTAGTTCAGTTCTCATATGTCACGTACAACTAAAAACCTCGGCGAGCATAAATACCCTGTCAGTGTCCCTTTAAGGGATATCCACACGAAGGAGAAATTCTCCACTTTCCTCCGCGGATCGAGCATCACGTGAGACATACGTCATTCCTTTTTGACGCCTCGTGGCGCGTTCTCCTCCGTGGCGGAGGCGCGGAGGCTTTGTGCTGACAGCACGAAAGCTCCGCAAGTGCACGCGGCGGAGCCGGGGACGGCGTTTCCCGGGTTGTTGACGTCACGACATCCGTCCGCGGAGTTCTCCTTCGTGTGGATACCCCTTTAATGCCACAGAAGGCTGGCTGACATAACGCTCGCCTAGGCGGAGTATACTAAAAGCTTCAAAGCTTTTAACTATGTTCAATCAGTAGACAGTTTTAGTGGACCGTACGCTATACACTCTAAAAAAAAAAGGAGTTGACAAGTGTCGACTCGACTCTTTTTGGAGAGTATCTGAGTTGTCGCAAACCGCACTCTCTATGAAGAGTAACGGTTACTCTTCAACGACAAGAGTCCGTTTAACTCTCCCATGCGAGTGTTCACTTAACTCTTCTATAAAGAGTCACGCCAATACTTTTGCAAGAGTCAGGACTACTCTTTTTATGTGTAAGTGTGAGAGTTAATTTCACTCCTTTGTGTAGAGTAACTATAACTCTATAAAAAGTGTTGTCTAAACTCTTTGACGAGAATTAATATCACTCCTTTGTGTAGAGTGACTATAACTCTATCAAAAGTATTGCCTAAACTCCTTGTTAACGAGTTAAGGATGCTCTCCAGGCAGAGTTACCTGCACTCCTTCATGTAGAGTAACTTCAACTCTATTAGAGTGTTGCCTTAACTCTGTATTCAAGAGTTACGCGTACTCACCAGGAAGAGTTACCTTCACTCCATCGTGTAGAGTAACTACAACTCCATTAGAAGTGTGGCCTAAACTCTGTATTCGAGTTAAACATACTCTCCCTGAAGAGTTGATTTCACTTTTTTGTGTAGAGTAACGAGAACTCCATTAAAAGCGTTGTCTAAACTCTGTAGTAAAGAGTTAAAAAAACTCTCCAGGAGTTGATTTCACTTGTTTGTGCAGAGTAACTACAACTCCTTTAGAAGTGTTGCTTAAACTCCGTATTAAAGAATTAAGCATGCTCTCTAGTAAGAGTTGTGATGACCATTTTGAGGAGAGTAAATATAACTCCATAAGAAGTGTTGCCTACACTTTGTACTGAAGAGTTAAACATGCTCTCTAGCAAGAGTTAATGTCAAATAACAGCACACTAGAGCAGTTTGTGCGACCCCTTTTCAAAGAGTGCTTAACTCTTTAATAGAGTTAATTACTCTCCACAAAGAATTGCATAAAGTACACCCCCGTTAGAAGTGGTGCCTAAACTCTCTATAAAAGAATTAAACACGCTCTCCAGGAAGGGGTCACACAAACTCTGCTTAATTATACTGTTATATGTTGTTTTTGTCGTGTTGTTGGGTGAAATTTAACCCAGTAAAAAGTAACACAAATGCCTGAAAAGAGAATTAAAAGAACATAAGTGTAAAATTGGCTCTTTGTTAATAAAAAGTGTGCTGGGAAAAAAAAAAAAAAAACTCTACTGGCAATTGGCATTCTTAGCCAGTTGAAGTGCAACCACTGTACTTTTCTTTTTGCAATTATTTTATGAATGTCAATACCTCCCTTGATTTCACTGTAATGTGGAATACTTTCGGGCTTATTGCAGGAGTTGTTGCATACAACTAGGGACAACTCTTTTGCAAAGAACAGTAGCCCTAAAATCTAAAAGCGGCTATGTACATGTTCACAAGATGGTTGAATAGGAAATGTGGAACGGCACATAGAGCATGAGCCTGTACAGAGGCTACACGTCTTCATGAAAAGTCAGCATAGAAAGAACAAAAACAGTAGAAAAGAGCTTAATAAACCAAGACTTTAATTTCAGCACATGGCAAAAAAAGCAAAACTGGCACCTA